CAAAAAAGCCTAATCCTAGGGAGTACGTCCCGGGACGTCTCCGACACCCGAGTTCAATACTACATTCACACTCTAAGTTCATACCTTTTTGCTGAAATCGATCGACAATCGACAGTGAACTTAACATATTTCATTTTCGTACTCTTTCGAATATCCAATGCAATATGTACATGTAATAATTTAAACTATGAAATACAATTTTTAACTTAGTAACTTTATAAAATTTTTGGCAGGGGCTAAGCCCCTCCCCCTGCACCCCCACCCCATACAATATAATCTAACCAAATCTGATTATCAAAAAAAAGGGATGGAAATGATAAACTCGCTGAGATATGTGGAAAAATCACTTTTTGGACCGTTTCAGTTTTTGGCTTCTAGGGGGCAGAGGGATGGGATGACCACCGTTGAAATCGCCAAGTCAAGAGCTTTCTTTTGATATTTATATCAGATGAATCGGAGGGTACCCCATTTTCTTGAACCCAACCTGAAAAAGTCTTTCAATTTTTCATTGAAAAACTTAGAAGTTATCGAAGAAATTTTTATTACTTTTCGGTACCCCTAATAGTTAAATTTTCTTTCACATCTTTAACACACTACCGGGTCACACAAACAATACGTAACCAATAAATACAGTTCAGCCATTCTGACAATGTTAGCCGTCCCGGCTAATCCAAACGCAACTATTTCCTTTAACATAAATTAATTAGTTAAATTTTCTTTAACATCTTTAACACACTAGAAACTCCTTACTTCATAATTCAGTTATAATACTCAATTAACGAATACATAAATATAAAATTAACGCACTTAACTCTTAACAAATGTTTTAAAAATTAAATAACTAAACTGCTTTATAAGGTCTCATATTATAGTACTTGTCATTTGAAACTCTTCAGTATTACTAATTACATATCGAACACAATCTAGGACCTTTTTCTCCGCATACGGTCCCTTGAATTTACGTATCAACTGTTTATTCGTACCCGCTTGTTAGCGTCAACGTATTTTGGAGGGTCGTCGAGGGCAATTAGCCTGTGCTATTTTGCCTTTGAATGATTTATGATGGGAATTGTTGAATTTCCATAGTAAAGTGGCAAAAATAAATTTAATAAGAAGTCGATAACGTTTACTGATGTCGGTAATAAGACGTCGATAATAATGTATGTTAGATTATCGACTATTTATATGATGCCACTCGTTTAAATTTTTGATTCGCAAATGTTAAATAAAATAATTCTGATATTCTCTTTCATGTTTGTTTCTCTTTATAAAAATTCTGATTTCGCACGGATATAATAGAACGAGTTATTTAAGTAGTTCTTCCTTAGTTTTCTTCATTTAAATATATAAAGTTTGTTTCAAAAAGTTATAAGTGTTCTGTTTAATTATTTAGTATTTCTTTATTTGTTTAACACTCATAACCATATTCCATTAGGAATAAACTGCGTGAGGTTTAAGCGATAGGTTGCTTATGAGAGTCCAACTGAGGCGACAGACGATGGCTATTGACTTGGAGTCGCGTGGTCATTAGGTGTCGCAGGACTGTGTGTTTTGTCAGTTTGCGAGATTGTAGAAAAGGGCAGGCAGTTTGTTATTGCATTGCTTAGTCGAATAGGGACGGTGTAGATTAACTCTTTCGCTTCGGCTGTCCAGTCCGCCGAAGTACTGTAACTGAACGGAAGTGCGCGCCATGAATACGTGCAGTACGCGTTGTTGCTGTCTATACGTTTTCCTGAGTCTTAAATGACTATTTTGCTGAATAAAGCAATCTTTGCTACAATATAATGAGTTTAATTTAGATCTTTGATATGACACCGGTAAAGCATCAGAGATTCGTGCTGCTTCGGACTGCTTTGGATTGCTTTGGATTGGTTTGGACTGCTTTGGACTGCTTTGGCAACGTTTGGATTTGGCAGGTTGACCATTGGATTGGAAGTTTGACCATTGGATTGGCAGAGTGACCTTCTGTAATCATAGCAGGACAACAATTTAGTAACTGTCTATCAATTTGCATTTCGATTAGTTTTTGTAACTTTGATAAGCATGCATGCAAAACTACATACAACTACGTTACAAAAATTGGTAATAAATTTGCAAACGTGTATCAAAACGTATAGTCACTCAGTAAAAAATTATAAAATATTCGAAAAAGTATGTCAATGCATTTGAATAATTATTGTATGCCACATGTTAAAACGTTTGTAAATTTATACTAAAATAAATAGATAACTACATTGTAAAACACATTAAAACACCAGTACAAGTATGCCAAAACATTTAAATAATCATTCCATAATTCACATTAAAACACTCATAACAATTTGTTAAAATATTTAAATAACCACTCCATTAAATATACTACAGCACCAGTAATAATATGTCAAATCATTTAAATGATCATTGCATAAAATACAGCACCAGTAACAATATGTCAAAACATTTAAATAATCATTGCATAAATTACACTAAAGCACCAGTAACACTATGTCAAATCATTCAAATAATCATTGCATAAATTACACTAATGCACCAGTAACACTATGCCAATACACTTAAATAACCATTACATAAAGTGCACTAATAACCACTAACAATTTGTAAAAACACTTAAATAATCACTTCACAAAATACTTTAAAACACTAAAAAATTAATAAAACATTTAAATAACTGCGCCATAAAACACACTAATAAACCCGTATACACGTGCATAATCAATTAAGAAAACACACTAGTAAAATCACTGACACTTGTAGAATTACACCATAAATTTTATTAATACACCCACGTATTTATTAAAAAATATTTGTTAAAGCACACTAAAGACTAGTAGTAGTACTCTAGGTAACCCGGAGACAAGCACAGTATCGGATAAGTGAAGCCTTGACTCGTACCGGTAAGTGTTGACAGGTGCTATCCGACCTCCTCGACTTCCAAAATAAAACTGAGAGCGTCTGACCTCCCTCTACTGTGAGAGTTATTGGTAGTTGACATCAGCCAATTAGACATCGTAATGGTCCACTGATCGATCTAATTCGATCTCTTGGAGTGATTCGTGATTTACAGTAACCAATTAGACATCATGTAATCGACCAATAGCGTGCAGCCACTATGATTGCATGTTGTATCATTATTCTAATGTTAATTTTTGTATAATTTTATATTTTTCGGTTGTTTATTAACAAATTTATTGTTGTAATTAAATTAATTTATTATTTTTTTTAACTTACTTTTGCACATATGTTGCAAAATGATTTTTAATTAATATATTACGATATATTTTACTGTAATTAATCATTTTTTAGTTACTTATTTATAAAATTATTATTGTAACTATTCGAATTCATCGTTTTTATTAACTTACTCTAGCAGGTATGTTGCAAAATGATTGTCAATTAATATATTACGATATGTTTTATTGTAACTCATTGTTATATTAATTATTGTAATTCATTATTTTCATAATTTTCTCGCGCGAATATCTTGTAAATTATCTACGAATTATTGTATTCATATTTTTTCTTATGTAATTTTTTGTAATTACTTATTACCGAAGTGACTCAGTATAGTGCGCGAACTATTTTGAACACCTAATAGTTTCGTATTTTTTGAATGTTTTACGCGCGGTTTTTTTAAGAAGTGACGTCATCAACCAAAATAGAACAAGCGCCATCTCTCCGGCGAACAGGGTGAACTACACGTTTTTGAAACTGCAGTTTCATTAGTTTTCTGCACTGCCACTGGACGGCGCCACGTGTATCGTTTCCCGTTTAATTCAAATAATATAGTTGATTTTATTAGTATGTCGGAGACTGAGCGCGCCAGTGTTGTGGAGCGAGTGCGCGCCCAAGCACAACAACACGGGGTAAATTTATTCGTGCCGGATTATACGCGATAAGCGACGAGAGAACGGAACGGCGGACGGTGGTCAGTCGATGTTTACCTCTCAAGCGCGAAGAATCTATTCCAACAGAAATTCTGTAACGTTCTGAAAATAATTAAAAAGAGAGAAAAAAAAAGGGTTGGGGCTAATTATGTTAAACATTATCTTTCGTTCTCCGACATATTTATACGTATATTCAATCTAATGTTAACATCAGTACACATATAAACAAATTATAAAAAGAATATGTAAAATAGTTTTTTTTTTACATTTATACAATTTCTTATATAATTAATATATACTTTTATAGCACAAATATAAATGGCAGTCATGTTTGTCATGGAAATTAAATGCTTTTATGTTTTATTACTACGAAGATTATTTAGATATATTTCTTCTATAGATTTTCAATTATTATGGCACTCATAAGTCTTCTCGTTGTTTTGGCTCGTCTATATTCTGAGAGTTAGATACAATAGTAGAGTCTTCTGTATCACTGACATATCCCTGTTCTCCAGTATAATGGGTAGGATAAATTAATAAAGGATTTGCAGAAAAGATGATTAAATTACGGTTTGGATAATGTGCTTTCCAGTCATTCCTGTACAAAAAATAATAACTTCGGTAATTAACATAACTAATAAATATAATAAAATCTTTCACAATGTTAAAACTGATTTCATTTACCTCGGGTGAACATCTGCCAATATGGGGATATATTCATCGACGGGTACCAGTTTTTTTAACGGCGTTGCTTCTACGAGTTTTTTTGCTCCTCTCGCCGATAAAATATAACCTAATGTCCAGTAACTGTATGCAGCATTTACCAAATATTTCGATCCATCGATCCAAGATTCCTCATTTTCTACCAATCTTTTCCTTCCCAAGTAACTAATATACGGTAGTACATTAATTTTTCGTACTAAAATTAAAGTTATATCATACACTTCATAAACATGCATCACTTACATTAAATCCCATTCAAGTTGAAAGTTATTTAGTTCTGTTAATATGTAATTTACTTTTTGCCGAAAAAACGGTTCAAATCGAACGTCATCTTCTAATACTATAACACTTTTTAAATTATTCTCGATCACCTAATAATATTTCAATAGTATTATTCAAAATAAAACATTTTAAAGATTAAAACAGATTTGTATAGTTTCCTAAATTTCGTAATTACCTCGTTCCAGATAATGTAATGACTTAAGAAACAACCAATTTCCCCCATAGTCATTGGTCTACAATAATTTTCTTTATCATTATTATTATTAATGATTCAATACATACATTCACCTTTTATTATGCTTACCGGTGATGATAAGGGTCCGCATATTCCGGCATCATTTTAACTCCTAGCGTATTTAAAACAGACTCATTTAACGTCCTAAAAAAATAAATGCAACAAGATATAACTTTGTTACTAAATGTAACTTGATTCAAGAAATAAATATAATAAAAAATAAACTTACCTGCCATCAACAGCATCAATAGTTTCCACTTTAATGCCAAGTTCTTTAAATAATTTATACATTCTTTCACGTCTCTCTGGTCTTCTTAAAAGATTTATCATATAAATGTTATCTACCTGCAATGTATCTTCCTCAGGATACTGAACAAAATGTTCAAGATATGTTGACAGTGGAAGATAATTACTATTTGCTGAAAGCATAACAGATCCATTTGTTTGTTTTTTTATGCTTTAAAGTCAACTTTCTTTTTTGATAGGTGAGTTAACTCACATAATATCTCTGTTTTAATATTTATCAGTCGTTGCAGATCTTCTGCAATTGTTTCTTTTTCTTCCAATGGAACCATAATATACCCATAAACATTGGCATTGCAAATAAATAATGGTATGCCTACCATAGGAACAAAGTATGTGTTATTGGATGAAACTTGAAATCATGAAAGTTGTTAAAACCAGAATACCAATTTACCAAACTTCTTAGCACCAATAGCAAAAGTTATAATATCATCAATGGGACCATCATAGTCATTTAAATTTTTTGGATTATATGTTAATTGATCTGAAAGATGGGTTCTTAAATCTATGAGAACAGCACTATGAATCATAGGTACACTGAAACATCCTTTCTCCTCCCGGTACAATATTGGTTCATATTTATCTGTTCTTAGATAATAATAGTCATTAGTCATTCCAGCCCAAAAGTTGCTATAGAGGCCATCAGATTTTAGTAATGGAGCAACTGCAGTCTGATTTCTTGAGATCAGTTCATTTAAAGTATATGGATTTGTTATAAAAACATCTGCATCTAACATCTGTAATATTGTATGAAGAAATTAATAACAAACTTTTTATAAAAAAAATGGTTAAAATATGATGCATACCCAAACGAAATCGGCCCAAATATTTCTGCCCGCATTGAGCGCTGCTTCGCGTAATTTTATTACATGCAAAAATCGTTGCATAGACCAATGGGCAACTCCATTTTCATCTTCAAACCCAACTGATTTTTCATCAAAACTTGTTTCAACGCCATGATATTCTTTAGCTGTACGATTTAGCCAGGTTGATAATATTTCTATTGATTTATCGATATTGTTATCACTGCATATCCTTAAAAATGTGCGTTTAAAACATATATATATATAACGTGTAATATGTTATAAGAAAATTTAAATCGTTCAAACGAACGTGAAATATCGAATCAATTCAACTATCGAACTATCGTTTCCATTTTATCAGTCTCGAATTGTTGTTATAAGCGGGAAATTTCGGTACACCTACGTTTTCTTTATTAAGGAATTAAAAATACATTTAGAAAAATTTACAAATCAAAATAATTGAGGATATAAATAAAATACTCCATTTAAATATTGTACAGTATGGTTTGAAAGTATTTTTAATTTTTTAAATATTTAAAAAATGAAAGTTATCATTTGTTATGTATATTATCATTTGGACAGATTCTATTTTTAATTTTTGATATTAATTAATTACAAGTACTTTATATGCAAAATACATATTTATGTATCAAATACCCTGTAACGTTCACTTTATACAATTACGTGGAAAGTGAGGTTACATTTAAATGCAAGGTTAAATACATTTAGATACACTTACCATAGATGTATTCGTTGTTTCGGATAATTCAGTTGCTCCAAGAATGTTAAAAAGTACGGTAATGTGTGCGCTTTGTTGCGTACTAATATAGTTATTAACACTGATGGCTTTTTAAAATCTTTACCATAAATTATCAGAAACATAGTAACAATAATTAAAGAAATGTGAACGAAATTTATTAATCTCATTTTTGTTTTTGATTCGGTTTACTCCTTTTTTACGCTCGAATTTTTTTATTCATTCGAAGCAAAGAATATTTCATATAAATCTACTCCTATCTTCACCATTCTGACTATTACTTTATCTGTTCCTGATCAAATTTTACCACCCACGCTGAGAGCATGTAGTCGATAAGGCGGTAAACTGTTTATACCCACATTCTTTTCACACTGAGGTAACATAATATTAAAAAACAATTTTCTTTCTGTCTCTTATATTGTTTTTCCTTTATTTCTTTTGCAAATTCTTTTCAGTAAAAATTTATTTTTTTTGAATTTCATAAAAGTAGCAAAGAATGGGTATTTCATACTTTTAAAATATCAAAATATTACAGCAATACATTAACAATAATTATATAAATATGAATACAATTTTGTATATACATATATATATACAAAACATAATATTTATTTGATACTTTTTACAAAATATTCTTTCAGTGTAGTCATTTTATTGTTCACTTGTCAAAGGTTTCTTTACTGTAGATTTTTCTTTCTCTTTTACCTTCATTTTTGAAGCATAGCTCAGACTTAATTTGTCAAAGTCTAATACCATAATACCTAAATCACCACTATACCTGTTTTTAGCTACCTATAACCATATATATTGCTTTTTATAAATAAATCTTGGTAATTATTTGTTTTTGTGCACCTACCTGCAAGTATTTTTTGCCTCGGACACTGGTAAGTCTTTTATCTTGAATAATAAGAACATTATCTGCTTCTTGACTTGCTTTTGCACTCCCAAAAATGGAAGAAGTTGTCAGGTCTTCATCATTACGTTCTTTTCTTGGATGTATTATTGCAGTTACATGACAATTACTTTTAGTGGCAAAGTTTCTAAATCTTGATATAATATTATCTTGTGTCCAAAACCTAGAATACAATTGTTCTAGTGTATATAAGAAAAAAATGTTTTTCAAAATAATTGTTGTTTTAGTACCTATCCATATGTCTTGAATCAGCTGATGTTCCCATCATAAACTGAACATTATCAATCACCACATGAGCTATGTCATGAACATATGTTGCATGTTCAACCGCCTATAATATGAATCGTTGCTATTTTAGAGTTTATTAAAGAAATTCAATTCAAATAGTGCTTTCATGTGTACACTTACATCCATCACTACTTTGATATTTTGTTGGCCATGAAATGTCATGAAATAAATTGGTAATTTCTCAAAATCATCAGCATACCTATTAAAATCTTCTAAATTTTTATCTAAAGGAGCACCAATCATTTGTTGTAGCATAGTTTTTGCTAAACGTACATTCCTTATTTCAAAACTACCCCATAAAGTGCTAACACCTTGCATTGCTAAATCTAAGGAATATTCGCTCATAAAAGTTGTTTTACCACTTCCTGACAAAGAAAGATGAGTAGTTAGGAATATTAAAATTAAAATTTAATTCATAAACATCTTTACAATATTTTGTTACCTGTTGGTCCTGTTAATATTGTAAATTCTCCTCTTCTATGACCTTTTAGTATACGATTCAAAGTTGGATATCTTTTCCATTTTACACCCTGTACTTTTTCAATATTTTGCAAATCACTTAATACATCTTCTCTAATTTCTTGAAAAGTAATTATACTTTTATGCCACACAGGTTGAGCATTTTGAAGAATACTTTTAAAATCATAACCAATTTCAACAGCTAATTTTGGCCGAGGCTGTGAATCTATTGGTCTAATAAAATAACATCGTTTTTCATTCAGCTTTTTTGCAAAATGTCTAGCAGTATGCCAGCTTGTTTCATCATTTCCAAACCACAAAATTAATTTCTTAAAAGATTCCATAAAGGGTAATAACTGTTGAGGTAAATTTTTTAAATTATAAGAAAGGCAAATGATTGTATTTGTTAATTGTTTTGACATTAAAGCTAGTAGATCATCCACCATTCCTACAACCACAGCAGTGTTATCACTTTTATTCTTATTGTTTTTGTATTTAATACACCCACTAATTCCAGAACTAGGAATTGTTTGTTCCTTTCCTGGCTCAGGGGTAAGTACCTTATATCCAACTATAGAATTCTTTAAACCTATTAGTGGGAGATATAATTTATTGGTTTCCTTTTCATAGAAACAATTTAATTCTGATATATTTTTTTGTAAAACATACTGAAAAACAATAAGATTTTATGATTTTATTGTAATTAAAATAAAAATTTGCATAATTTTTTTAGCATTCTTACAGGAAATGAAAAAGTGTTGAGAAGACTATTATATTCTTCTGTAGACATATCTGCAACATTTTGACAATTTTTTATTTTATCATTCCATCTTTGTTGAAAATTTTCTTCTACATGACAACTTTTCTTTAATATATCGAGTTCTTTTGATTTCTCACTTGATTTCTGTATTGATAAAAATTTTTCCAATATATTCCATGAACCGGTATATTTACACTGATCACAAATAAAAAATCCTATAATTATTTTAAAGTAAAGTAAAATTATTTATATTAAAATGTAATATCATCATATATATTTTTATAATATTAATATAGAAGTTATATCTACCTGTTGTTTTATTTATATATATTTTTGCACCTTTTTTTGTATCAATACATATTGGACACTCTGCTATAATGCATACATATCCTTCTGTTGCATTTAAACAGCGTTGTTTGAAACAATGTTTCACATGCGATATGGATACATTTAGCATAGATTCTTTGTTGTCCACATGAATATAATGCTTAATAATTGAATTTCTAATTTGTTTCTTTTGTCTAATAAAAGTTTGTAGAAATAATTTTACAAACATTTTACAAATAGAATATAATTGCTCATTAAAACAATTATAGTTTTGCAAATAAAAATTTATATTCATAACATCATACTCTAAATTACGTTTTTAAATTACTGGTATTATGTTTTTATTCACTTTAACACAAAAAAGTATAAATTTCTAAATAAATAAAAAGTTGAAACATTTCTTTCAAGTTTTGTCTTTATTTTTTAAACATGAGCTGTTCAAAAGTAGAACAATCTTTAAATAATATGCCATTTCACAGACATTAATACATTTTTACTTATCAAGTTATTTAAATTTTGTGTTCGTATATATTATTTTTTGTTCATTATGTCCATTTGATATCGTACATATTGGACTACAATATTACAATTTCCCAAACACTAGATTAAAATTATTTACACAAATTCGTTCCTTATTACATGATATTTTACAAAACTTATGAAACATGTGCACGTGGACGTAGTTCTGTGATATTATAGTATTATATATATAAATTACCCCTTCCCCCCGACTCTTACTATTCCAAACTATACATATCACGACACTAACCATATAGTCAATGATAATGGTGAAAGAAGAAGGATGTATAATACAGACTCATCTATAGTAAATCTGTATAAATATATTTAAGTATGTTATATTAAATAAAAAATAGAGTATTAAATTTACTTAAAGAACGTTTATTCTTTTCATATTACATTCGGTCTATTGAAAACATTTTATGACAAAACATTTGTATAATTAGTATTTAATACTTATATTGTATTTATTCAGCATTTGCATTTCGTTAAAGTTACAAAAGTAAATAAATAATATGAAATGAGGCACATGAATTCGTCTTTTTATCTTTAAGATCCATTATTCGTATTTGGTGGATTGTAAAATGAAAGTTTAACCTCTTCTTGTCTGTGGAAAAGATAAAAATTACATTAGTACAAATTTAAGTACGTAGATTGTTAAAATTAGGCAGTACAAACAAAAATAGTAATTATCAGACACAAAGTAAAAAATAAAGTTGTGTTTGTTGTTAAAGTTATGTTATATTAAAGTGGTATTTAAATCATGTAATATTATTTGAGTGAATAGTAAAATGTCATTCTTAAATTTACCCTTCTGTAGTATCATTGGTTGTGTTATCTGCATCTGTTAAAATACCAATTTCGTATACCACTGCTTTTATAACATATCTACAAAATTGAAATACATTTCTTAAATTTATATATTTGAATTATGTTTAATATACACAACAAAATTATATGTTAGTATAGATAATAAAAAATAGAAAATTCTTACAAATCATCATCAGTTGAATTATTTGTTGATATTGTAGTTGTATCATAGTCTGTAACAGGCACTGATAAAGTCATACTTAATTGCACAGATATACAAATCAACAGTAAAACCAAATATAATACTCGAGAGAGTTTAAGATCTCTATCGATTTTTATGTCGTACAACATTTTCAATGGTACTTGTTTTTTCCCAAGCAGACACTTTTATAGTAGATGATGGTACCTTGTTAGCACTACTCCCTCTTTTCATCTTATAAACATAACATATGTCATTATATGTATTTTCATGTCGTTCATAAGTGGGAATGGAAAATTTTCAAGAAAGAATTCTTTGTAAATGATGTGCCATCAAAGTGTTTAAAAATATTACAAGATAATACAAAGTTTAATGTAACTTATTAGATTAGCGTGGGAAAATAAATATTTAAGTTTAGTTGAAGTAATTTTAATTCTATTTACTATTGGTACTATTATTACTGATTAAGTTTATAAAATATATTATGAAATGAGATAAACCATTAACTTATCATGCAATTACTGCTTCAATTAATTTGTTACAAATTTTATAAACATAATATGATATGATTTTGTAATATATAACATGTGTGAATATAATAATGCTTCTAAGAAATTTCTTTGTTAAGTTATAACGTAGTAGTAGGTTCCATACTTATTAGATTAACGTCAAAGTGTGAAAAAATGTGTTTCATATGACATGTGTAATAGATACGTATTTGATATGGACATGTATAAATATTTTAAATACTAAAGTTACCAATTAAATAATTTTATGGGTAAATGAAAGATTAAATTATATATATTTGATTTATTAAAAATTTATTTATTAATATTTAAACTAACAAATATTTTGTATAAATTGTAAGCTGTTTCCGCGCGAAAATAAACATGATATTAAAATATCAGTAAATTTGTATGATCATTTTTATCAATTACAGGTATTTATATTATAAATAATGTAATGTTCAAAGTTTTTCTTTTGGACTGCTCAACTTCAGGGTACTGATTTACATGGATAAATTTGTATCAAGGTCAGCTTTTTAATTTTTCGTTTAATTATAGAATTAGTTACATCGTAATTTAATACTAGTATATGTATATGTACATTTTATATACATATAAATTTTTTGGTTTATATATATATTATTTGTTTTTACAATACTATAAATGTAAATGTATAATGAAATACATATATATGTATATATACACACACCACAGAACTGGCGCGCAGTATTTGTAATTTTGTTGTTTTCTGCTAGACGGAGTGAGGTTATATGTAACGCCAGCCGACATTGATCACCCGGATAACTTAATAGTCAGTTACGCACAAATTGTGTATAATGCATATTTCAAACCAAGAGAATCTTAAACTTATCCAAAAATGGGTAAGTAATTATAATGAAAAATCATTACAGATCTTTCATGTATTACTTCAAATTACCAACGTTAATGTGTCGTCGTAGAAAGGAAAACGTAAAACTGTTTTGAAGTAGGATCAAGAATTGTTAATGAATTATAGATTCCTGAAGCTACATTGGACCATTTGGATGATTTAGATAATTGTATGAATTCAGAGGCTATTTATAAATGTGGTCTTCCTGCTGCCGCAATATCTGCAGTATTGGCTCACGCTCTTATTCCTAATAGCCTAAAACGTCTGAAACTTGTACTAGTAGGTAGTTCAGGCCTAGTATCATTCATGCTTGGAAGAATAGTGTATGGCGGTACCCTGTGTCAACAGAAGGTATTTGGCCCAATAATTGCCAAACGTTCGAAAAGGTACCATTTATTTCATATAGCAATACAAGCATAATGTCGATATCTGTTTATCACAAAACTATTTAATTTTTATTTAGAAATGTACTCGATAGTCCTAATTTCCTTGAAGATGTCGATCAAGAAAATCAACAAAGCAAATTAGTTACACCTTCTGATAAGTTATTAGAAGATGATTCATCATGGACTAATTTTGATCCATACTTAGATAGTAATGGTAAATATACTAAAAGCAAATAACATAATTTCATGATCATTAAGATTTTTAATTCGGTTTTCAGTGAGCTACTTTGATGATACAGGAAGCAATTTTCAACAAGATTTTCCAACAGAACAACTAACAGAACTACCAGTAGAACAACCAGTACAAGAAAAGAAAAGACGTGTAACGTACGACGAGTTATGGGCACAAAACGCAGCAAGTCAGATGAAACGGTATAGAGATTTTGGATGGTACAATTTAATTTCAGTCATTATTTAGCAAAATTCTTAGTTTTCAAAATTGTTGTCAAGAATTATATATCAAACAATTATTTCTTTTTAAAGTATAAATTTTTATTTTCAACAGATAAACCGAGAGGCACCAGTAATTCTTCAACAAACTTTCGGAAAGTTACCACTTTCGAAAATGATATTTAATGAAGAAAATATTTGGTGTTGAAAGAAACATCATGTTTTATATAGATTTTTAGGGTTCGTACATGTTTCTTGTAATCGTCGATATATAATAGATTTCAGTAACAATAAAACGCGCTGTTAAACATAGCATATAGTAATACTCTTTCCCACTGCATCCTGTTGAAATGAATTTCGTCGGGAACAGTAAAAAAATTTACAATTTTGTAAATATATTAATTCATTTTACTAGTTTGATCTTTCATCCTGTAGGATAGTTTATGAACATTTTTCTTTTGTATTTAATACATAAACTTAATTTATCAGTAATTATACTAATTCCGAATAAATATCAGTAAAAGACCCATTATTTAAACTTGAAATATAATCAGTTCGTGTAACTGAATGATTCAATGATTATGTACAGTTGTTACGAAGTCGAAATATCACAAAAACGAATAATTATAGTCTAATTAATCTTTCTTCGTTTATTGTAATACGTATCGATCTGAAGTATAAGCGTCTACGTGTTCATCTATTGTACCCTTTAAAAATTCTCCTTTTTCTCTCTTCCTTCTAAGAAAGCCAAATATATACGTTAATTACTGTAACGTATACATAAATTTAGAAAGGAAATAATTACGATTATTAAATTTATTGAATTAGGAAGATTTGAAGTCAAGAAAGTTATTTGGCAACGCGTAATAATTTAATCAGAATGAAAGTAGGATAGGTTCTTTCGATTTTTTATGATTTTAGTTTCATGGCTGTAATCCTAGGCAATATATGGTTTACCTACACAATAAAAATTTTAAAGCGACCCACAGAGGATATTTTCTAATTTGTTGGTGTATTTTATTTTCTGATTAGTTAGTAACTCAAAAACGAGATGCTCTGGTTTTAATCGCTGCGTGATCTTGAACACGACGGTTCGCCATTTTGTTCGTTAATGCTCCAGAACCGAACGCTTGAAATCGTAATAGTTTAATATCGAAAAAACAGATTTAGTTTTAGGAAATGTATAAACAATAATAGACAACGAACAGAATTATTAAATAATTAATTCTTTACGACGTCTGTTGTAACGTGAATAATTAAAGTAGAACCTACGGAATTAAACGAAAGGAAAAGAAAATTAACGAAACAGGCAAATAACTGATTGTATTAAGATTAGATGCGCGTGACTATTGATCGCGTTTTTTTTCTCGAAAGCACGTTACTCGGTAATCTTGATCGATTCGCATGGCCATGTAGAATCGAAATAAATTCTTAACCACGCAAACATTGTACTTATAAATTAGCAAGAATACACGCTTATGTACATTTCTTTTTCCAAGTCTAACAATTTCAAAAATTAGAAACTTATTGAAACAAAGAAATGTCTTAATTTTTGTACAACTCTTCGAGTACTACTCGTAATTACAAAATATCGGGCATTGCAGTTATTTTTCGAAAAGATTGCAGTCGAAAAATCGCGAGCAAAATAGCCGGACAAAACGTAGTGTACAGTATCGAAGAAAAGAAATAAAAAGTAGGGGAGACTTGTAGAGGAGGAGGCATGGTTGAAGCTTGCATTTATCCGGTGTTTATCGATGTCGTGATTTAGGTGGCGAACTTGCGCGGAACCGCGTAAAGAGGGCCGCGTGCAGTCAGCCATTGGCTATTGAAGCCGACCAATGGGCGAATACTCCCATTCATAAGTTGCGCTGCTTCCGTCCTGATAGTGGGGATCTGTCTCGTCGGTGATGCAACAGGAACTCTATCTCGTCGCTTCATGACCTCGCGGATCGACTCTTGACTCTTGACACATTACCGATCCCCTGCGTTTTCCTCTTTTCCCTCGCCATTTCAATTCTTACGTGCAAAACTTTCCACCTTTATCGTTTTGGCAAATAATTATGCACTATCGGTTAAGTCTGGCGAAACGTTTAAATTGGATGTTATCGATGATAGAATTTCATAGCTACAGGTATTTTAAACAAACGTAAAAGCTTTTAGAAAATAACAATTTGAATTTCAAAATGGTTGTGATGGCAATAAACGAAGAGATGTTCTTACATGTCTGCAAGTACCTTTAAGAAATGATAATTGTATAAGCAAAACGAGAAAATTTGGCAAAGTGGTCCATTGAGAATTTAGTAGCTTCTCTATTTTGACCGATGCATTCAATTTAGTTTATTTTTTATTTCGTTCATGTTGCACCATTTCTTTGATCGAACGAAACGAGCTTAAATCGAAATACTTCTTTATATTAAAATTCCTTTTGAGGGAAAAAAGAATGAACGAGACGATCAGAAAGATTGGCGGTGAGACGTTCGTAGATTCGCGCGTCCGCTCGGTTTAAATGATCGCGGGTAAGAAAGGGGAGTCATGCAGGTGCAGGTCATGTGAAATATTTGCACTTTGTCGTAATTTGCGTAACTCGTTGCATATATAATAAATCCGCAAAGCTAAAGCGCCACGATAGAAAATCGTTTCACAATCTAAAGAGAAAGGGAATCTCTGGCACTGTGAGAGGGGAGAGATTCGAGATGCTTATTGCCGCGTATATTACATACGAATACAGCGCGCTTCGCCGCGCTCCGAATTCGACGGGATTCGAAGCATTCTTTTTCCTTTATCACATAATTGTTAGTTACCTTCCAAAATTTAGTTCAGCTATTTTTCCTACAAACTGTCTGTACGATCAGATTTAAATTATGACTCGAAAGATCAGTGTCAATGAGCGCCTAGATTTCGGAAGTCGCTCTTCCTCAAAAAATAACGAGTTATTGAAAGCATGGACTGATCGATCAAAGACAACGATGCAGGTCATTTTACCTTAGGGATAAGAGGAAAAAGCGATCGTCTCGATGGCAGTGGCGATGCCGAGCGAAACAACGGAGGAGACGTTACCGGTCGTAGTCGTAGTGTACGAGGTGACGTCAGACGAGCGTTGGCGGAATGGTTATGGCCGTTCCCGTTGTCCGAGAAGAAGATCGAGAGAAGAAGAGACGAAGACAGAGGATCGCGTTCACGAGCGCAACGGGACTGGAAGAAGTAAAAAGAGAAGTTCCGCGGTGCGCGTTTTCGCGGGTTCGACCAGGGTCGCGCACAAAACCGTGCAATTGCGAGAATATGCATTTCTTTTTCGTTTGAACGGTGGTTGAAATTTTGGAACTGCAGAGCGTTGGACTAGCGGAGGGTTGGAACGGGGGTAAAAACTGAATTCGACGAGAGCGCTGGAGGGTTGGAGCTGCGACAGAGGGTCGATACGCGAGACCAGGTAAAAAGAAGGCAAAGATCGGGTAGAAGCGTGCCGAAGTCGTCGATGGAAGGAGTCCCTTGATAACTGTTAGCGATAATCGAGTTCTAGAGTCATAATGCCGTCTTCTTTAGCGATTCGAGCGAGATGGAGAATGAAAACGAACGACTTTTCGAGAGGAACGAGGCGAAGGTGGAAAAAGAAAGAGGGCGGGTGCATACAAAGAGATAGATCGAGAGGGAAAGAGAAAGAGAGGGAGAGAACGCGTATACGTGCACACACCCACACATACAAAAGAGAAGGAGAGAGACGATAGTTCGACGAAGAGAAACGAACGAAGAACAGACCAAAGGGTGGGAGACAAAGTAGAAGGGAGGGATAGAGAGGACAACGGAGGAAAGAGTCTGTCGCGGAGAAAAATGCAAGAAGAGGAAAGGAGAAGGTACGGTGGAGGGAAAGAAAGAGACGATGGCACTAGAGGGAAGCGGAGGAGAAGTACGTTTAAATGATCGCGGGTAAGAAAGGGGAGTCATGCAGGTGCAGGTCATGTGAAATATTTGCACTTTGTCGTAATTTGCGTAACTCGTTGCATATATAATAAATCCGCAAAGCTAAAGCGCCACGATAGAAAATCGTTTCACAATCTAAAGAGAAAGGGAATCTCTGGCACTGTGAGAGGGGAGAGATTCGAGATGCTTATTGCCGCGTATATTACATACGAATACAGCGCGCTTCGCCGCGCTCCGAATTCGACGGGATTCGAAGCATTCTTTTTCCTTTATCACATAATTGTTAGTTACCTTCCAAAATTTAGTTCAGCTATTTTTCCTACAAACTGTCTGTACGATCAGATTTAAATTATGACTCGAAAGATCAGTGTCAATGAGCGCCTAGATTTCGGAAGTCGCTCTTCCTCAAAAAATAACGAGTTATTGAAAGCATGGACTGATCGATCAAAGACAACGATGCAGGTCATTTTACCTTAGGGATAAGAGGAAAAAGCGATCGTCTCGATGGCAGTGGCGATGCCGAGCGAAACAACGGAGGAGACGTTACCGGTCGTAGTCGTAGTGTACGAGGTGACGTCAGACGAGCGTTGGCGGAATGGTTATGGCCGTTCCCGTTGTCCGAGAAGAAGATCGAGAGAAGAAGAGACGAAGACAGAGGATCGCGTTCACGAGCGCAACGGGACTGGAAGAAGTAAAAAGAGAAGTTCCGCGGTGCGCGTTTTCGCGGGTTCGACCAGGGTCGCGCACAAAACCGTGCAATTGCGAGAATATGCATTTCTTTTTCGTTTGAACGGTGGTTGAAATTTTGGAACTGCAGAGCGTTGGACTAGCGGAGGGTTGGAACGGGGGTAAAAACTGAATTCGACGAGAGCGCTGGAGGGTTGGAGCTGCGACAGAGGGTCGATACGCGAGACCAGGTAAAAAGAAGGCAAAGATCGGGTAGAAGCGTGCCGAAGTCGTCGATGGAAGGAGTCCCTTGATAACTGTTAGCGATAATCGAGTTCTAGAGTCATAATGCCGTCTTCTTTAGCGATTCGAGCGAGATGGAGAATGAAAACGAACGACTTTTCGAGAGGAACGAGGCGAAGGTGGAAAAAGAAAGAGGGCGGGTGCATACAAAGAGATAGATCGAGAGGGAAAGAGAAAGAGAGGGAGAGAACGCGTATACGTGCACACACCCACACATACAAAAGAGAAGGAGAGAGACGATAGTTCGACGAAGAGAAACGAACGAAGAACAGACCAAAGGGTGGGAGACAAAGTAGAAGGGAGGGATAGAGAGGACAACGGAGGAAAGAGTCTGTCGCGGAGAAAAATGCAAGAAGAGGAAAGGAGAAGGTACGGTGGAGGGAAAGAAAGAGACGATGGCACTAGAGGGAAGCGGAGGAGAAGTACGGGGGAAAAAGAGGTAACGAGCGAGACGGAGGATGACCGACGGGACGGGGGCGTGTTTGATGGCTGGCTAGACCGCTCGGATCGGTCGCGCCTGGGGCGTGAGCCAGCCAGAAGCAAAAGCCACGAGTAGATGCGCGAGGGTAAAGAGCGAACGGGAACGATCGAGTCGATGAAAAAGACAGAGAAACTCGAAGAGCGTGCGCGCGAGGGAGAGTGAGATGGCAAGACGGAAAGAGAAAGAAAGCGGGGGAGCGAGAAAGAAGGAGAGCCCGCGAGAAGAGTATGGTCCGTGGAGGGCTGCGTTCACCGGGCAGTTACTCCGGAACCGTTGCCTTGACGACACGCGTTCGCGCATGCGCGTACGCGACATTACGAGTGTCCCAGTACCGCGTTGCGAGTACCAGTTGCGTTCGCCACCCTTGTTTCCACTACCACCGCTGCCACCACCTTTCCTCCACCTTTATTACTATCCGCTGAAACCACTACCATCCTCGCTACCACCACCGCTAATACTTCACCACCGTAACTCGCCGTTACCTTGGACGTTTCGTCGTCTCCACCGAGCTGCCGCTATCGTTATCGTCATCAGTATTTACCACCACCAACGCTACCATCGCCACCACTCGTCATCGTTACCACCACCGCTATCGCCGCTGTTTCCACCTCGCAGTCATCGTCGCTGTCGTTGTTATCGTTCCTTCTACGTCGATGATTTAGAACGCGTCTTTGCGACTTTGCGTACCGATTACTTCGTTGCTTCCTCTTGGGCAGATTTTCTGGCAGCGATACGAAACGGAGATCGAACAGGAAGAGGGTAACGACGCGTCAACGAAAGCGCGCGTTATAACGCTGTAAGAAGGTCGTTCGTTAGAATCGACTCGCACCGGTGGATCGTTATCGTCCATGCATGTTTCAACGCCGTGGTCATCGTCCACGTGGTTGTCGCCGTTCCCGTCGTCGTCGTCGTCGTCGCCGCGCTCGTTCCGAGAGGGTCCTTTAAAACCCTTTAGAGCTCACGACACTTCTTCGGAGCAACCCTCTAATTTCCGGTGATCGCGTTGTTCGACCTTCGTTCTTCTCCTTCGGTGTTTTCTCTTTCTCCGACTCCACCTCCACCTCCACCATTACCACCACCTCCATCACTACCTCCACCTTCATCTCCACCTCCATCTCCTCCTCTTGCTCCTACCCCTCGTGCTCCCTCTCCTACGCCGTCGCGTTCTCCACCTCTTCCTCTTCCTTCGCCGCGTTTCGCTACTACGAGTGTCCGGTTGTCACGCGTCGACGGTGTTCGCGATAAGACGCGACCGTGTCAACGTTTTTCTCGACTGCGCGACCGATCCGTCAATGTTTCATCTTCTTGCGCGAGACTCCTTAGATCAGTGATTTCGCGACAGACACCGCCGTCGAACGAGATCGACTTTGTTGACGCGCGAGGTCGATTTCCACGATAAAAGGGTTTGTTCGCGCGTTTCTCGCCGATATTCGGGCTCTACGTCGTCGTACGAGTGATTCGAAGCGAATCCGTCGTGTACCATCGACGTCGCAAATCGATCGAATATCCTCCATGTTCGATCGTAAAGACGGCTCGAGAAAAGATCGATGAAGTCGTGAATCGCGAGCGATATTCATGTCTCGGCATCGCCGCGAAACCTGCCGCTGTACCTTGGCTGTGGAAAGAACAGCGGCAGGTCGACGTCGTCTTCGTCCGCGATTCCCTCGACGAGCATGACGCGCGATGCACGGGAACGGAAAATCGAAGGGAATCGATCCATCGACGTAGCTCGTTGACGAGAAAGCGAACGAGGCAGAGAAAGAAATCGTGAAATCGAAGGATTCGTCGGTACGCGGCAACGGAAAGAGAAGAAGAGGCAAAAGGTGTTGGACGATGTCGCCAATTTCTTCGTTTCGCGTTGAACGACGCGACCACTCGTTGATCGTAGGACGCGAGACATTTGGGATCCTCTGCTTTCGAAGAAAGTAATCGTATCCGGAAAACCTGTTCGTTCGCGGTTCGAGGAAGAAAATCGAGAAAAGTGCAATGACGTTGTTCAACGAGTATCGGTACCGTGTACGCGAGTGACGATTCGCGACGCGTGTGACGATTCGCGACGCGAGCGACGGCGTGACGAACTGGACGCGATCGAGGGCTGTCGCGAAACATGGTCCCGCGTTTCGATACCCGACACGGTCGTCTAGCTGGTCGATTCGCGTTGCGACGATAAGGTTGGACGGTGACTCGAGAGCGTCCACGGAGCATGATCGTTGGAAAAGAACGAAAAATTGGCAAGTTTGACCAGAAATCGAAGGAGATCGAGTGTTCGGTTGTTCGACGTTACCCGGACGCAGTTTTCGGTTCGACCTCGGTACCAAAGAATCGTGGTATCCACGGCGTAAATGGCTGTCGTGACCGAACTAATCGGACACGATTCGAAGCCGTGGCTGGAAAACGGTCGACGATAACGAGAAAAAATTCGCCGAGAGAAGAAGACTCGCGGAAGCGAGGAGAACCGTACGAACGCGTAGGAGTCGATAGCGGATTTGTTCGTAGTCGGCGATCGTTAAAGGACAAATAAAAAATACGAACGAACGGTGGCGTCGGTCGCGAGTTGAATGGTTCCGCGAGGGTTAACCCTTGGGAGGTCGATTTGGGAGCAAGCGGAGCCAGACGTAGGGCCAGTGTCGGAGCAGCAACGTTTCTACGATTCTCCGCCACCACGGATGGACGCGAGCGTGTGCTGCTTGCCCGCGAGTGCCGGCTCGGGGGCCCAGCACCCTCATCCAGCAAGTTTGCCTTCCGGCGGACAGCCAACGATCCAGCCACCCTATCAGTATGCCGATCAGATAGTACCGGATCGGGGTCAACCCGACGGATTGCCGGTACTCGGCTGTACCGGTCAGGACAACTGGCAGCAGATCTCCGCGACCAACGTCGCTGGTGCTGTCACCGCCGCGACCACCACGACCACGTACATCGATTACTCCTGGCTGCAAATGCAGGTGAGCTTTTTCTACCTTTCGTTCCGTCTTTTTCGTGAATTCCTACCCCGCCGATCGCGTCGCGGATCGAGCGTCCGTGATCTTTAATCGCGTACCTGCTGATCGGGTACGCGCGAACGTCGTCATCGGAGCCGTCGCGGTTTCGTTTCACAGCACCCGTTGATTCGATAATCGCGCCTCTGCTCGCGAATCTTTGATCGCGCGGAAGACGAGCACGAGATAACGCATCGATTCCGAGCGAGCGTTAGATCGTGTCTGAACGATGATAACAATAGTAATAATGATAATAATAGATGAAAGTAATAACGGCCATTACCATTATCTTGGCCCGAGCGATCGTTCTTCCCTTTTAGACGTAGCGGCGTTTCCACATAAAACCGCGTTGTTGACAGGGCAAATATTCTTTGATACGCCGTCCGTCTGGGACACGCGTCGCGCGCCTTTCCACCTTACCGACACGACCGACTCTGGAACGTGGTCGTGTTTGCGTGTTTCCCTTTGTGTCTGTTCGTATTCTACTTGCCCGCTCGACCGACCTTCGTCACCCCCTTCTTCGCTCCTTCCCTCTATTTACCTGCCCTTTTCGAATTAGGCCTTTCAGCTATCTCGTTAAAGGGATTCGACGAGTTCTTTGCCCCTTTATCCTCTGTCGCGCGACTCGATCGGATACGACACCACGAGTCGC